TTATTAAAAGCAAAAATAGTCTGTAAAGTCAAAGTTTTTAGTTTAAGTTGAAACCACCAAAGCGCAGTATCCTCCTCACACATAGGCCAAGAATAGTAACGCTATGGTACCATATGGAATACTAATCCCTTTCGATGTCATGAGCTTTAACGATGGTCTTATTTTCGCCTGTGAGATCCCTGCCAAGCATGCGTAATCTTTCTCTATGATCTTGCAACTAAAATAGTGGTCCGATGCGTAAGCCAATAAAAGTCAACTCAAGCGCATAGATGTGCGTTTTCTGTTATAGGAGGGCCAAGAATCCTCGCTGTTCCACAGGATGAAGGTTTTTCCCGTACATTTGCTAAATGAGTCGTGTGATCTCTTGAATGTCGTTCAAACGAAGCAATTGATGTATAGCATTCTCAGTTTAAATGAAACTTTCTTCAAATTCAATGAAACCATTTTCAAACAAAGCGAAACCATTTTCAAATTAAATGAAACCTTTTTCAGATAAAGCGAAGCCTTTTTCAAAGTAATTGAAACTTTTTTCAGATTCATTGAAACTTTATTCAAATTAAATGAAACTTCTTTTTAAGAATGTTTCATTTAATTTGAAAAAAGTTTAATTTAATTTGCATAAAGATTCATTGAATCTGAAAAAGGTTTAATTCAATTTGAAATAGGTTTCGCTATATCTGAAAAAGGTTTAATTTAATTTGAAAATAGTTTCGCTTGACATGAAAAAGGTTTCATTTAATTTGAAAAAGGTTTCATTTAAACTGAGAATGCTATACATCAATTGCTTCATTTGAACGACATTCAAGAGATCACACGACTCATTTAGCAAATGTACGGGAAAAACCTTTATCCTGTGGAACAGCGAGGATATGTACATAGGTGAAAACTGCCTTTAATTCTATACATTAGTTTTTGCGCGATGCGCTTACAAACATGTTGCTATACAGACAGACAGAAAGACCAAAAGTCTAAAAATTGTTGATTTGGCTTTGGTTGAGCTAGGGTCATTCTTTGTAAAACAGGAAAACGACATAAATGCTAAAATGCCCTAATGATCTCTATTTCAGTGGTAAACTCCTTTTCAATGGCAACAATCTGTTGAAAAATATTAAAAAAGTAAAAAGTAATTGTAATTTTTGTCTATGGAAACTTCTATTTCATGCATAATTATTTTACACCAATCACAAGGACATGTCCCACCAGTCACAAATTTAAATTTTTTTTAATATTTCTATGAAGATTATATAAGCCTAAATTTTAATGAAAACGAAAGCGTAAAATTCATATTTCATAACACAAAAAAAATCGTTTGTTAAAATTAAGTGTTTTTTGGATACAATTCATCTCTGAGTTCACAAAGGTCAAATAGAGTTCTTTTCAGTGCCCCACCAGTCACATTCACTCAAATGATAGCTACATGAAACTAAGAAATCGTTTGATATATTTGTTAAAGCAGTTTTACGCATTAGTTATCGTTCTGTGTTAAAAAAAAATCTTTCGCTGCTGTGTACGTTCCGATGACATAGAAATAGTTCACAATTGATCACATTCTCGAGTAAAATGTCCCGGCAGTCACAATGGAATGGCCCTCTAATAAAACCCCTATTAATTTTTCATTAATATCTATTATGCACAGATATCGGCCTGTTACATTAGCGCACACAAGGGGTGGGTTTTGGGGTTCAAACCCCCCTTAAAGCTAATAACCTGAAATACAAACTGTATCCTAAAGCCAGCTCTCAAGAAAAATCACAAGAAATATTTTTTATTATAAAGCACTTTGCTTTCGCTGTAAATTTTCTTGAAGAAATAAATATACGAGCATTTTTTTCTTGAGAGATGCAAATTGATTTAAGAAATTTTGATAGAAGAAAATTCCTATTCCATTTCTTGTGCGCCATTTTATATGAATTTTTCGTTTTTTTTTGAGAGCTCTTAAAAGTTTAACTGCGAATGAAACCTAAAAATATGCAATGCATACTCACTTACTGAGTCTAAAAGAGTTTACAACTGATATGTCCTTAACAAGGACTCGAAGATCTAATTTGCCCACTTCGAATTCGTTCCACCAAAATTGCCTACATAACAAAAATTCAAGTTCATTTAATTTTCTCGGTACTCGAAATATTAAAAAAATTAGGCAATCGTAAAAAATCACCATCTCATTCGAAAACCAGAAACCAGATATCGAGGAAAATGAACATTAAAACTCTTTTTTTAAATTTTTTTTATTACTTTTGCAAGTTGAGCGCATCTTGTGTTTATAGAACTTTATATTAAACAAGTAATTTCAAATTACGGGAAGACCCTTGAGGTACCATCTTTCCGATAAAAAAAAGAATTATTGAAATCGGTTCACGTGGTCCAAAGTTATGCGTTAGCATACTATTCCGACGAATTGATAACCTACCCCTTTTTCGTAGTCGGTTACAAATGTTTGAGTTTTTTGGTAATTTTATGTAAATAAATGCAATTTATGAAACTTCAAAAAGTTTATTTATTTATTACATACTGTACATAAAACTTGCATAAATGTACTTTAATGATCATTTAATCTGAAGCGAATTTTCAGAAGTATAAACCCCTCCCAAAATATATTCCTGGGTGCGCCCCTGGCCTGTTACAATTTTATTATTCTCAAATACCTTCGTTTGATACCCATATGGTAACATTTAGGCTATCTTATCAATTTAACTGAATTAAATTTTTCAAATAGGTGGCAATCCGCTTCAAAAATATTTTCGAAAGTAAGCTTCCTAAACCTTTTTAGTTTAATATCCGTATTGCAATATTTCATTTATTTTACTAATTTAAATGAACAAAATTTTTCAAACAGGTGGCAGATCCCCTAAAAATATTTATTTATTTATGTTATCAATTCAATTAAATAAAAGTTTTCAAACAGGTGGCGTAGAAATTTACTTAAACTGAAATTTTCCAACAGGTGGAAACTCTCTCATTTTTTCTTCTATATTGTAAGTTAGACCTCTGGCGATACATAGGTGAAAACTTAATTCGATTCCATGCATTAGTAAATTCTAAATTCTAAAAAGCGTTTATTTGGCTTCTGTTAATAAGCTCTAATAAAAACCCTACATATTAATTTTTCTTTAATATCTGTTATGTACAGACATCGGCCTGCTACAATTTTATTTTAAGTACAGATATAGATTTCATTTATTTTATAAATTTAATTCAATAAAACCCTCCTAAAAAATACTTTCGGCAGTAAACTTTCGTAAACCTCTTCAGTTTGATACCCATATTGCAATATTCAATTTGACCTATAAATTAAATTAAATTAAAATTTTCAAACAGGTGGCAACCCTCAAAAGATATTTTCGACTGTAAGGCTTCTTAAGCCCCTTTCTTTTGACGGCCATAGTGCAATATTCAAATTTTCTTATCAATTTACTTAACCTACAATTTTCGAACAGGTGGCAACTCTCAAACTTTTTTCTTTCTATATTTTAAGTTAGACCTCTAGCAATACACGTGTGAAAACCGCATTCGATTCCCTGCATTCGTTTTGGAGTGATACGCGTACAAACATAAATACAGTCAAAAATTCTAGAAATGGTTGATTTGGCTTCTATTGCTCTAACAAAGACCCTCCATATTAGTTTTTCTTTAATATCTATAATGTACAGACATCGGCCTGTTACAATTTTATTATATGTATAGATATACATATTAAATAATGCAATTATTTATTCATTTATTATATATGAAATTATAATATTTTCATCAGCTAACATTAAATAATAATAATATATACATACATACATATGACTAATCTCAATCTGTATTTAAATTCAAGTGAGCCGAGTGGAAGAAAGTCCGTAAACTCCAGCACAAAAAAAAATTATCAAAAATCAACGGTAAATTTAAGTCACTCGAAACGTGCGCATTATTATACCTAAATTAAAAATTTACTTCTATAAATTCCGAGTAAAAATTTGAAAATTTTTATGCAATGTTTTTTTTTTAATTTGTTATATTTTTGTGAGTTTTGTCCAAAGTTTTAATTTTTGATTTATATGTTTGTCGTCTGTTATACAATAAGATATAGCTTTATAAGAAATTAGTGAAAAAATTTAACAATTAAATATTGTAAGTACATTCGTAAAAATTCAAGCAATTGAATTAAAAAATTCAAGTTTTTTTATGGAATTATGCCAGTGCGGGGAATTTCACCGAAAATCGGGGAATTTCGTGGAGACCAACGGCGAGAAAAATAAAATGAGTTGGCATACCTGGTGTCAAATGAAATACTCTTAAGAAAGCTTTAGTTTGGAAATAATTTCGATAATGGTTGCCACCTATTCGAAATGTCATATCGGTCTATCATGAGATCTGAACCGTTCTTTCGAATTTTACCTGTAGATTTGCAACAAGGTTTTATTTTTTTAAATTACAACTTTTTTAGCAGCGTCTTGGAAATTTGATGAAATGAATCACAGACATGTCGCGACACCATGCCAGACATCTCTTAAGATGAAATTTGGCACACGGATCGCTTATAACTCTGGCTAACATAAGGTTTTTGAAGAGGGCTGACACCTGTTTAAAAAGTTAAGTTCAATTTTGGCGTGCAATCATACATTGGTGAAGTAACTAGAACGAGGAGAAATATTTTGGCACTGCTTTGTTTGAAAATTTGCTTATAAATTTTGACTATAAGGCAGTCGAATGTCAGAAAATAAAGCGAGAAAGCTGTTTTATTACGTCACCTGTTTATTGCGCCATGGCTTCTTCCATTTACTTTGTGTTGTCAGAGAATCTGAAGCACACAATTGATTTACAGCATTAAAAATTCTAGTCTCTGTGATAACTTTAGCAAGATATAGTTTTTTTTACATTTTAGGAAATTATCTGACTTAACACTAACCCCATTAAAAAGGAAGGAAGAAGGCATTAAAATAGGCACTGATGACCTGACTGACTAAACAACCTAACAAAAAATTTTATTTTTAACTAAATAAAAACACTTTACTCACTTTGGTCCTGTTCCACTTTGAAAGATGCCCTTATAATATCATCGGCACTGGGGTCCAACCTAAATTGGAATGGTGGCCCATTACTTTTCGAGCGATCATCATCGTCTGTAGCCAATATTTCCACCACTTTCCTTGGGGGCACATGCTCTGGCAATACCGGCCGGTAGTCCTTCAAGAATTTCGGTGCATTATCGTTTATATCCTGCACAATCACCGTAAGAGTGGCCGTAGCCGTTTTTGGTGGTGAACCGTCATCAATTGCTAATATTTTAACTTGGTGTCGCGGCACTACTTCGCGATCTAGCGAGCGTTGTATTGTCACAGAACCATTTTGATTGATGGCAAATTGCCGCTGCCGATCTGAAGAACGATCGATCGAGTATGAGACTTTACTCTTGCCACCCTGATCGGGGTCGGTGGCCTTAAATTTCTCCAGCTCTGTGCCGACTTTGGTGTCTTCAAATACGGATACTTCTACATTGGCACGTTCAAAGTGCGGTTTATTGTCGTTGATGTCGCGCAATTTTACCACAACCCATGAGTAGGCTACATGGTATTTGTCGTTGTCGTTGTCTTCACCCTTATCATTGACTTGTATGCGGAAGCGGAAGCCATTGCTCTGTAGTTGGTCTTCGTAATCCAGAGGTTGCACGATTTTCAGCGAACCTGTGCCATCATTGTTGCGCACCATTGTAAACTTATCGGCGCCATAACCACTGTTGTCGATAACTTTGTATTGAAATTTGTTTGTTTCATCCTCATCGTGCACAGTTACTGTGAGTATAGGCATCTCGGGCAAAGAGGTGCCATCCGTTTCATCAACTTCGGTGAACCACTCGTCTTTCGTAAACTGCGGCGGCATATCGTTGATATCTTTTACACGTATTGAAGCCGTCCCCGTGCCCTTTAACCCCCCGCCATCCATCGCTACTACTTGTATTGAATAGTCCGGTGTGCGCTCACGATCCAAACAGCATACGGCAGTCTTGATGACGCCTGTGTCTGGTTCTATTTCAAATATCGGTGAACCAGTTTCCTCTTCAATCACATTCTTCTCAATGGAATATACAAGTTTCGCATTTGATCCTTCATTCGGATCATCATAGTCTACAGCTGTCATTGTCATCACCACCATGCCAGCAGTGCCGTTCTCGGTAACGTTGCCAAAGTAGACGCCTTGGGGAAAGATGGGGGCGTTATCGTTGATGTCCTTCAAATTAACTTGTACGTCAGCATAGCCCACTAGTCCCTCGCCTCCTTCGTCCTGAGCGAAAACTGTAAAGCGCCATTGGGGGCGTCCGTTTGGTTGATCACGATCCAAAGGCTGTGCGTTTGGAGAAGGGAAAGGGGAAAATATAAATTAGTATTCATATGTTTACTCGAAAGTATATTTGTATGTACATATGTAGGTATGTATTTAAATATAATGCAAATTTCGTTCAGGTTCCTTATGAACAAAGTGAGACAGCCTTTGGTAAAAAAACGCACTTGAGCAGGTATAAAAGAAGCGCACACATTTGGTATGGACGGAAACCCGCTTTTTGTTACAGGCATTTGTTCATAAAGTCATATTTCTTTGTTACGATCTGCAATGTCATTCTACGACAAAAGCGTGATTAGTGATTTGCGTATAAAAACCTATGTATGTATAATACAAAGTTTAACAACCGACTTTGCATTATCGGACTTTAAAGATTAAAGTATTTTGTGCAGCTAACATCAGCAGTAAGGCATATTTTTAAATAAAATTCACAAATCCATTTCTAGTGCTTTATACTACATAGTTCAAAAATTTTTAATTTGTTTAAAGCTTCAGACAACAATTTGTAATTATCTTATTTTATGCTTAAATGCAATTTTTAACCAATTGTTAGTAATTAAACTGCAGTACCTACTAACAAATTTTAGTTTTTGCATTTTTTAGAAACATCGCAACTTCGACATTGAACTTTAAAGTACCTTATCGTGTAGCATCATGTGTTTATGTTTGTTTTAAAGCCGGGATTTTGTTTTTTTAAATGCAGTTAAAATTTTCGCCGAAAGCAACGCGTCTACCGAAATTAATAGAGATTGATGACGATATTACTGAGATATTTTTTAGTAAATAAATACAACGCCGCATTACCAAAAATATTTACCTTTCTTATTTTATGCTTAAATGCAAGTTTGTTTACCAATCTTTTTATTGATGCTCCAGTAATTACTGGAAAAATGTAGTTTTGCATTTGTTTAGGCGCGACTGCTTACACCAAGCGCTTAAATGAATGCTATAAATACACTGCTGCATGTACAAACATTTCCTTTTTGTTATTGTGAAATTTGATCATATTTCATTAAGGAATTTATTTTAGGATCATAACAAATACATATTAGGGATGTTTCGAATGTCATATTTTTCACATTCGCGAAAGCGAATTTAGGAATAACATTAAAAAAGCTATAATCAACTTAGGCATCGTTTTTATTGATTAAAAATTTTGTAAATAATTAGAACATTGAACGAGTGCTTAACCTATACTGTGTTTTAATGTAGTATTTAGTCAAAGTTCAAAAGGGGCATATTATATTTCAAAAAAGGAATTTGGCTGCCTTTTCTCCGATGAGATGATTTCTTACAAGCTCGTATATAAGGCCGGCTGCACTGAACAATTGCTCACTTGGAACGCTGGCGGGTTGAGCGCTCAAATATTTGCGCGCCAGATCTGCCAATTTTTCGTATTTTAGTTTAGTTTTCCACCAACCGAGAGGATTTTCTCCGAGATGAGCTCGTGTTTGTTTAAGACTGGCCTTCAATAGAGCTTTAATTTCAAATTTTTTAATGTTTTCAGATTCTACATCCGAGCCTTCGCTTTCGCTGGAAGAATCTAACATTATGTCTAGGTTGCTTATAAGACTTTTAGCAGTACTTGTTGAAGGCCCATCAATGTTGCTTGGTATACTACCTAACCGTTGAGCGCCTGAAGCTAAAAGCCGGTTATTGTCCGCACCCTGGTCAGGCATTCTTACCGCCCAATTCTGTGTCTTCTTGATAAATTATTTGTAAAGGAAATTGTATCAAGATTTGTATCAAGTAAAAGCTCCCATCGCATTCTGTGTCGATATTTATAAAATAAAAAGCTCTACGATTTCCACAAGAGGGGAACTTATTTCATTGTCACATATGGAAAATATCAATTCAAAAGCAAAAAAGATTTTGACTGCCGTAGCCGAGTAGGTAGAGATGCCGGCTATAAATTCTGTGTGTTCCAGGTTCAAATGCCGGCACATGCAGTATTTAAATGATAGAAATAAATTTTATTAAAATTTATTAATATACAAAATTTATACATTTCACATGAAAGTTCAATTTGTCAATAGCATTTTCAATCTTGATAATTTAAAAAGGCTTTTGATTTCTGTGCTAGAATTCCAATTCTTGATATATAATAAAAAATTTACAAATTATAAAAAAATTGTATTTACCAAAATGCACAGAATCGGGCTGTTATGGCCATTTGATGCGAATGCGAATGTGTAAACCATTCGCAACATCCCTGATACATATCGCTAGCTTATAGTGAATAGTTGCTAACAGCCCGATTCTATGCACTTGATAAATTGAAAATCTTTATAATTGGTAAATTTTTTATTATTTATCAAGAATTGGTATTCTAGCACAGAAATCAAAAGCTCTTTTCTTGATAAATTATCAAGATGGAAAATGCTTTGACAAATTGAAATTTCATGCTAAATGCATAAATTTTGTATATTAATAAATTTGTTTCTAACAATTAAATACTCCATGTGCCGGCATTTGAACCTACTACACACGGAATTATAGCCGACATCTCTACCTACTCGGCTACGGCAGTCAAAAGCTGTTTTGCTTTTAAATTCATATTTTTCATATGTGACAATGAAATCAGTTCCACTCATGTGGAAATCAGTTCCACTAATGTGGAAATCGTAGAGCTTTTTGTTTTATAAATATTGACACAGAATGCGAAGGAAACTTTTACTTGATAAAAATCTTGATAAAATTTCTTTACAAAAAATTTATCAAGAAAACCCAGAATTGGGCGGTTTGTATATTAATAAATTTTTTTTCTAACAATTAAATACTCCATGTGCCGGCATTTGAACCTGAAACACACGGAATTATAGTCGATATCTTTACCTACCCGGCTACGGCAGTGAAAAGCTTTTTTGCTTTTAAATTCATATTTTTCATATGTGATAATGAAATCAGTTCCACTCATGTGGAAATCGTAGAGCTTTTTATTTTATAAATATTGACACAGAATGCGAAGAGAGCTTTTACTTGATAAAAATCTTGATAAAATTTCTTTACAAAAAATTTATCAAGAAAACACAGAATTGGGCGGTAAGTCCCTTTTCCCAAATTTTATTTATCAAGAATTGGTATTCTAGCACAGAAAGCAAAAGCTCTTTTCTTGATAAATTATCAGTATTGAAAATGCTATTGACAAATTGAAATTTCATGTGAAATGTATAAATTTTGTATATTAATAAATTTGATTCTAACAATTAAATACTCGCATGTGCTGGCATTTGAACCTGCGACATACGGAATTATAGTCGACATCTCCACCTACTCGGCTACGGCAGTCAAAAGCTTTTTTGTTTCTAATTTCATATTTTTCATATGTGACAATGAAACCAGTTCCACTCATGTGGAAATCAGTTCCACTAATGTGGAAATCGTAGAGCTTTTTGTTTTACAAATATTGACACAGAATGCGAAGGAAGCTTTTACTTGATAAAAACCTTGATAAAATTTCTTTACAAAAAATTTATCAAGAAAACACAGAATTGGGCGGTTCCTTTAAGTATTTTTCAAAACTTTGAATACAACATTTTGCGTGTTTAAAGTAAAGCAAAACTCTGTACGAATCAGAAGAACTCGATCTTTTTTAAAAGATTTCGTATTGTTTTGGCCTTATCCGAGTGTATTTCTGCTTGTCATAAACATACAATCGCCAGTCGGCGTAAACCTGTACGTCCCTCCCCTTTGTGTGACAACATCAAAGGGCACACCACAATTCGGAGCAGAAACTCGGCCAAACATAAACATATTTATGTACATATATATTTGTAAGCGCCAATATATTTGGGGTATTCACAACGTTGTCGTATTGTTGTATGTCGTAAACTTTCAACGCCTAAAAAGTATATTGGGGCATACTTAGGCTATTTCTAGGGCGTACCTGGCGGTAGGTATAAAACGCCCCCCTAATCCAGGGTGGCATGCGTCACCGTGCCTATTGGATGGTTTGCAGTCAGGGGGCTCTTCCAACTGTATTTTAACGGCGCCTCCCGGATACCTGTCCCCCTCCGGGAGTAACGGTGGACTTACCGCAGCACGGGGCTCTGCTGTGGCCGACCGTTCTTTCTCCTTACCTTTATACACGGTCGACGAACGGTTACGGCTCAGCAGGCGACCAAAGAACCAGATGAGTATGAATACAAATAATGAAGCCCGGGATTCCTACACGGGTAAAAATGCCGCCGACGGACACGGCGTTATAAATAGTCAAGATAAATCTTCGGTAGCCGCTGGATCGGTCCCGAAGAAGCCTTCACGGCCATTTAAATCGAATATTGAACCCAGCGTTGGTAGCTGCAAACCCTCGGAGGGTAGCGAGCTACTGGCGTCTGGGATGGCAACGGAGCCTACACGGCCGATGGACCTCTCGTGCCAGGCTTCCTCATTAAGAGCGGCAATGAGCACACCCATTGAGGGCAGCTCTAAAGCAGCTCCGGTTGGGGGCGTTACTGGCACCCGGGAGCCCTGCACGGGCAATAGGAATGCCCACCACAAGCCCCCAGTGGGGTCACAGTTGGCGAAGAAGTACCCTCGTCCCAGTGGTTCAGGGACAATTAAGCGAGTACGCCCAGCAGTGCGAGCGAAGCGGATCAGAAGAGCCGCTTCCAGGCTGCTGAAGAAATTCGCGGACAATCCGCTTCCCGAGAATATGAGGGATGTGGTTGAGAAGGCAAAGGGCATTCTGTCTGAAAGCCGGGAACGGACTCAGGAGAAGGGGGTCTTAAATAACCCTGAACCCACTCCCTCAGGTTCCAGGGAACTGGCCCCCAAAAGACAGCTATCGGCAGATGATGCCCACGGCCCATCGAAGAGGCCTAAAACCTCCAGCAAGAACAGCCCGCCAAACCATTCACGGGTCCCTCGGGCATTTAATGATATGACCAAGGACCATTTGGTTCTGGCTGTAATGGACAGGGGGCACCCGGAGGGAAACCTGATGCCGAGAATTGGAGGACTGTCCTTGTAGGTCTCTGCCGGGTGTATAAGGATATTCTCCA